TAGCTGCTCTCCCCTGCTAGAACCTCTAAACAAATCTCAAAATAATCATAATTTATCAAGGGGTCATGAGGGTAGGGGGGGAGGGATGAAGAAAAGAGCTGATACCAAGAAAATAAGGGTGGCAACCTATGGACAAATATGCTTGATTTAATTGATGTATGGATTGTTATAAGAGCTGTAAGAGCCCCCAATAAAATGATCTTTTAATCACTGACTAAGTTTTGGACACACACACACTTAAAAAGTGTATTTCTAGATTCTGGTACCAACCCCTTGAATATATTATGTGGCCATCTACTATCCCTGAAAAAGTACATCTTGGAAGATGGAAGCAACCTAAATGCTCATTGGTGGAAGAATAGATAAACTTTTGGTACGTACATATAATGAAATACTATGCATCACTAAAGAATGACAGTGAAACTGAAGCACCACATGGCGGATATGAACTTAGAAGACATGCTGAATGAAGTTAGTCAAACATAAAAGGACAAATACTGTATGGGACTTTTTAGAAAAAAAAATCAAGATAAAGGTTTTTCATACCAAAAGAGATAGACTTTGATTGTTGTCAGGGGTGACGGGAAGGAAGGGGAAGCAACAGGCTAGAGGGTAGACAGGGGTTAGCGAAGGTGAAGGGGAAGGTAGACGGGTCAGCGAAGGGGAAGGGGAAGGTAGGTTAGCTAAGGTGAAGGGGAAGATCAAATTCGACAAGACAGAGAAGACAGTGACCACGAACTGCTGAAGAGATCAGGTATCCCAAGCATCAAAGAACAAAAATCATATTGTAAATAAGGGTGAGTGCAGAGTGGAGACAACTGGACACCCCCTTACTGAAGGATTGTGGGGAGGAGATGAGCCAATCAAGGTGCAAGGTAGCAACGAATGAAACATGTAACTTTCCTCTAGTTCTTAAATGCTTTCTCCCCCCCCCACCCCCCCACCCCCACTATCATGATCCCAATTCTACCTTACAAATCTGGCTAGACCAGAGGATGTACGTACACTGGTACAGATAGCAACTGGAAACACAGGGAATCCAGGATAGATGACTCCTTCGGGACCCGTGGTGAGAGTGGCAATGCCTGGTGGGTGGAGGGAATGTGGGTTGGAAAGGGGGAACCGATTACAAGAATCTACGTACAGTATAGCCTCCTCCCTGGGGGATGGACAGCAGAGAAGAGGGCCAGGGGAAGATGTCGGACAGTGTAACATATGACAAAATAATAATTTATGATTATGAAGGGTTCATGAGGGAGGGGGAAAATGAGGAACCGATTTTAAGGGCTCAAGTAGAAGGCAAATGTCTTGAGAATGATGATGGCAACATATGTACATATGTGCTTGACACAATGGATGGATGTATGGACTGTGATAAGAATTGTATGAGCCCCCAATAAAATTATTTAAAATAAATAAATATAGTGTTTCCTAATCAACATTCCATTAGGATTAGGAAATACATATGTACACCATTAATGCTAGATTTAAAGATAATGAAAGTAATGCTAAAAATAAATAAGATTTATAAAAGCAAAAAAAGACAGAAGACAAACAAAGGGGGATGGGCAGAACAAGCTATGAGAGGTTTGATAAGTTGTTTAAACTGTTGAATGTAAAATGATGATCTACAATGTAAACCCTCACTTATTTCACAAACTTTTTGTTTTGTTTGTTTTGAGTATATCTTGGGACAAATCAGCTACTGATGGGATTAAATGGAAAAGACCTGAGACACTTTTTTTCTTGGATTGTCTATTATTTCTGGATTCTCACTCTTTTAGCATTAATTCTCTTTATGTTCATTTTTAAGGAGCCCTGGTGGTGCAGTGGTTAAGTATTCGTTGCTGCAGAAAGCTCAGCAGGTTAAACCCACCAGAAGCTCTATAGGAGAAAGATGTGGCAGTTGGCTTGGTAAAGATCTAGGGTTTGGAAACAATGGGGGCAGTTCCACTCTGTCCTATTGAAGGCTATGGGTAATTACATTTTCTATCCTGTGGCACACTATCACCTTATTCTCAAGTGACTCATCACAGACCACCTCCCTTTGCAGTTTTCCCCCTTTCCTTTAAAAAAATATATATATTTTTTCGCCCATCGTTCAATCATGTCAATCAGAATTGTACAATTGCTATCACAATCAGCTTCCAAACATTCTTTTTCTACATGGACCCCTTGACTTCACCACCACCCCTCCACCACAGAAGCCCCTCCTCCTGAAACCTTTATTCCACTTGCTGTCTCTATAGGCTTATCAATCCTGGGTTTCATATATCGGCCTTTCCTCTTTCTTGATGTTCTGCTGCTGGCTCACATACTGCTTTTCTCCCATCTGTTTGTGGTATTCTTCATAGATTTGCAAGTTAAGAGTTGTTCATAAAATAATCATCAGATGAGTAGTTATCACTCCATCATTTGGAGAATCCAGCCCTATTAACAGACTCATTTAAAATGAACACAATAAACACGGAAGCATGTAGTCCAATGGACGAAACCATGCAAACATCAACTCCAAGACCCTGAGACCAGAGTAAGTAGATGGGGTCTGATTATCACTACTAACTGCTCTGAAAAGGATCACATTAGAAGGTCCTGGGAAAGTGGGAGAAAAACACCAAACAAAATCCAAAATTATAAGAGACCAGGCTTACTAAATTGGATTTATAAGTGGTGGAAGCCCCAGGACTATGGCCCTTCGTTACTCTTTAGGTCTGGAACTGACCCCAGCCCGCATATTAATCAACCATTTAAGAGCAAAAGAGCAGCATTTACCCACGGACTAAGTAGAGAGGTTAGGAAAGGAGAAGGAATGGAAACAGGAACCACTGGAAGTGTGTTCAGCAGTGGTACATCAAAGGGATGGCAATGGATGGGTTGAAACATGTGTATGAGTCACTGAATGCAAAACTGATGATGTGCTCTGTAAACTTCCACCTGACTTCACAATAGTTATTTTAAAAATTAATAAAATAGTCATTTGGGAGATGTGTTAAACTTCTTTCCACGAGCAGAGATTGTATCTAGATGGTTTGAAGAGGGCAGATCTAGTTGCTAAGCGAGTGAAAAAAGATTCTCTGCAAATACAGTTCATTGAAATATTTGTCAGCTATCACAATAATCCAGTTTCATTAATCTGGACATCCTCCTCCATAAACTCCTTTAATTTTAAAGAAAAATATTTATAGAAATGCTCATCTTTTTTATTTAAATTATTTTTTGGGCCAATATATGAAGTGAGCTATATGCTATTAGACAAAGTAATGGAAACAGCAATTTGCGGTTTTAATCAATGGAAAGAAAACAATTTGGCAACTTCTTTAAGTTTGACTAAAACAAGATGAGCTGCATCATCAATTGCCTTTAATGTACATTTTGTCCTGCTTTTAATCCAAAGGTCTGGACTTGACAGACAGGAGAGGCGCCTACTGCTTTTAAAAGAATGTCAAGAGGCTGTGGCATTTCCTGAACTAGAAGATGCACAGTCTAAGCACAGTTTGGAGAATGAACATAGGATTTATATCTAACCCTTTGAAATTTGTAATCAGTTTTAATCAAAATGTCATTAGAGTGAAAAGAAGGATTTAAATTAAAATGAAACTTATAATTCATTGTATTCTTTCAGCCCTTGGCAGACCCTTGGGAGTAATTGTGATTACTGGCAGAAATTGTGATTACTGGAACAAAGACGGTGCAAGGAATCTGAGTTTTACTTTGGCCACTAATTAGTTCTAAAGCCTTGGGCAAGTTGTTTCACCTCTAATAGTTTTCTGTAAATTGATGGGCAAGGCTGGGAGAAGGTTTAATCTTGAGGCTTCCTTCTCGCCAAAGAGGCGGGCACACTACCAATTACACATTTAACCCAAACAGCTTCACTGCTCCGCCTTCCTGGCTTCTCTCTGCAATCCTTCGGGGACTCCGGCAGACTCCAGTGTAGAATACACGCTAGTGCGCATGGGAGCTGCGCGAACCTGCAGCCGGTGATTTTTCTAAAACCCTCGGTCTCCGTAGGCTGTGAAACTAAGGAAACGTCCGGCTCCAGGCGGACCTTCTTTTATGGCGTTCTCTGCTCCCTTTTTTCTTCACACTTTGAGGGCTTCGATCTGTTCCCTCGTTTGGTGGTTCTAGGGGGATTGCGCCAGTCGGCCGATCTGTTTCCGAGCAGGCAGACGATCCTTAAGCCGGTAATGGCATGGCTTTAGGATTAGGGACCTTCGCCATGACGTCTTCAGAGCGTCCAAATTCGCATAGAGACAAAACATGATCGATTTTCTTCCTAAAGGCAATCCCTAGGTTCACAACCGTGACTCTCTCACCAAGTCAACTGCTGAGGTGGGACAACACCCCGATGCGCCAACCCCTATTCTCCTCGGGACAGGCGAGCAGTTGCGGCTGCGGCTGGAACTACGACGCCCAGAATTCCCGCGCGCATGCGCGCTGTCATTGTGATGCCCCTTTCCCGGTAACTCGTCCTCTCAGGCAAACCTGAAGATAGCGGCATTTCTCCGGTGGGGGGGCGGAGACGCTCTCTGCTCGACTCTCCGCCCCCTTCCTGATAGGCAATGGGACCAGCCAACCGACGCAGCGCGCTGGGAACGCGTCCTCCAATCAGCATCTGCGGCGGAGAGGTAGGCGTGCGCACTGGCAGGGCAGGTGGGCTAGGCTGTGCCAGGTTGCGAAGGGGGAGAATAGCGTCGGGTCGGGTCAGCGGGCG